CCCGCCCGCCCCCCTGCGCGAACGCATCAAACGCGTTCACGCGCGTTCACTGCGTTCATACCTTGAACGCGAAACCCGCGTTCAATGAACGCGCGGTAACGTAGATCATCATCATCATATGTTGGTTACTCCGGGTAGACTCGGAGGGCCCCGGCCTCAATGTTCTCACATATCAATAAAAAAAAAAAAAAAAAAAAAAAGTGGGTTAACCTATGGTGTCTTTTTAATATCTCTCTTTTTAAGTTTTATGTGTGTCATCCTTTTTTTTTTCCTCCTTTTTTTTTCCCCTTTTTCTTTTTCAAACGGCTCCGGAGGGAGCTTGAGGTGCTGGTCGGAGCAGACACCTTAAGCTGGTCCGGGGGAGGCTCCATCTATTGGTGGGGAGCAGCACCCTCTGGGAAACGGGCCCAGCGTCCCCATTACAGACATCCCGGAAATTGTACATTGGTAACGTAAGGGGGGCACGCCTTTCCCGCCTACAGACAGGCCGCCTGATGCGTGTGCCCCTTAGTATGTGGTGTGGTGCAATCTGTAGCTGCATTTACCAGTGCTGTGTTGAATCCCTTTTTTTTTTTTTTTTTTTTTTTTTTTTCTTCTTGAAAAGAGCAACGTTGAAGGCTCCATCTATTAGTTGGGAGCAGCACCTGCTGGAAATCGGGTTCAACATCCCTTATACAATAAAGTGATATTTATAAGCTGGAAATCAAGTCCATCGTCCCTATACAGTGATGTGCGGAGATATCATAGTGTGTATCCGATATAGTCTGTGTTCATACATCAATATGTGTCGAATGAAGAAAAAACCCTATCCACCATATCAATCATATCAAATTCTCTGGAAAGAGCAGAGGCATTGATTACTTCCCTGCACAAGAAATGATTGACCTCCTGCCCATGTAGCGTATTCCTAACGGAAAGCATTTTCATCGATCACTCCAACCAGCAAATTAAACCAAGGCACGAAACTCTAAGCAACCTTCCTCCTCTAGGGGGGTGATTGGAAGTTGAGGGCCGGGGTCAACTCCAATCGATAAAGGGGACATCATCTATCCCACTCCCACCCGGTTGACGTCATCTTTGTTGTTGTTGTTGTTGTTGTTGTTGTTGGAGCAGTGATGAGTTGAATCCTAACTTATGAGGCATGGCCTGTTTCTCCACTGGCCACCTTTCTGATGAGATCAGTGAGAACAGCGATTTCGTCAAAACGGACATTTTTTATTTTTTGAACGAAATCGAAACTGACTAATTTGGCCTAAATCCGCCCGAGCCAGGACGAAATTTGACGAATTTGAGGGTCCGGCGTTCTTAAAATGTCGGACCCCCAGGATGTATTTGGAGTCTTGGCCCTAGCTGGAGTCCAACCTGGATGTATCTAGAATTTGCTGAATTCCGGGGGGTCCGGCGTTTTAAGAACATCATACCCTCAATTTCGACAAAATTTCAACCTGTCTCAGGCGGATTCTTGTCAAATTAGTCGGTTTCAATATCGTTCAAAAAATAAAAAATGTCCGTTTTGACGAGATTGCTGTTTGAGGCAGTCAGTCCCTGGCTAGCTTGGTGTCATCCTTGTGCAGGGGCCACACTAATCTTCTCTGTATCGTTTCAATTTTAGTAGATGGACCAGTCGACTACCAGCTCTTAAGACACGCCCAATACCGATGGCAAGGTACACGAATTCGGGGGAAACAATCTAAATACAATTCAGAAGGGACAATGGACAAAGAATTCTTTGGATTAGCCCAAACAAGGGCAAAGCGGTCCACGATTGAAGCACTATACGATCCAGAAGCAAATGAGGCGCAACCTGCGATGACAACAGCCCGGTGCGTCAAAATAACACGAGTTTTTTTCAAGGACCTTTTTGCGTCACACATACCACCAATGGAGGATGAATCTCGTCACCAGATGATAAAAAATTTCCTCTCCCCCTTGGATGGGTCCCTCTCGGAAGAACAGAAAGAAAAACTTGAAGCACCTTTCGTCAAGGAGGAAATCTGGACAACACTTATGCAAATGAAAGAAGACAAATCACCAGGTCTAGATGGACTCCCTAATGAGTTCTGGGAAACTATGTGGGACACAATGAACCAAGACCTAATGGACTATTATGTTGAAGTATGGATGACAGGCGGAATGGAAGAAATGGTGGGATAAGGAATCTTATCATTGCTATACAAAAAAAACGATAAGATGAACATTCGGAATTACAGGCCCATCACCCTCCTCACAGTGACGTATAAAATGGTAGCTAAAGCACTGGCGAATAGAATGATCCCGGTGATGGAGGATGTTATACATTCTGCCCAGACTGGTTTTATGCGTAGCCGGAACATCAAGGAAAACATCCTACTGGTCCATGAGATCTTACAACTCGCCAGACATTCACGACAAAATGCAGCATTGGTCTTTATTGACTTTGAGAAAGCATACGACCATGTTGACTAGCTCTTCCT